GGTGGGTGGGTGGGCAGACTAGGGTGGTGGGTGGGTGGGTGGGTGGGTGGGCAGACTAGGGTGGTGGGTGGGTGGGTAGAGATTCGGGGGAAAGGTTATGCCAAGGACGGTCACCATTAAAATGGAGCAAATGGTATCTCTTTCCTGACAGTACTTAACTGGCAAAAGAAAATGTTCACTGAAGCTGGCGGTAAAAATGTCTATCAATAATAATAATAATAATAATAATAATAATAATAATAATAATAATAAAACATTGAAAAGGCATCTTTTTCTAAACGTCTTCAAAAATATAAAGAAATATAAATATATAGATATTAAGCTTCCCATGAAGTAGCATCCACATTATCTTACAGATACTCCACTGTAAATAAATTATTATAATTAATATCAATCAATAAATAATTAATGAATACATCAAGTGATTGCAGAGAGTGCAACTGCTGTCTAAAGGGGGGGGGGAGAGAAGATATGCCAAAGGAAAAATAATAATTAATTAAGAAAAGGATTCATCTGAAGCATCTGTGCTCTTGCTCTCTATAATATTCATAGTTCAAAAATTTCAGAAAAAGGCTTAGACTCTATTGACCAAAACATATGTACCCTTTTAATAAAAGTGAAATAAATCATCCTATTATAATAAACCATATAATTTATTTAATTTAAAAAATCACAGAATTAAACTTACCTTTTAAAGTGAATTTTCCCTCTCACATCTCAACTCCTAAAATAAATTGTCTCAGATCTCTGGCGACAAGGGAAAACTGTAACATTGTATCATGTTGTCGGGAGCAGCTGGAAGGAGGAAGACATGTCAGATTATGTGCCAAAGGAATCCTCATCGTGTGCAATATGGTGGCCTCATGAGATCATGAGTGTGCGGACTGTGCACGGTCCAGTAGACTGCATGACTGGCAGACAGGAAGGGAGAGAGTGGAAGAGAGGTGATATTTGCGCTGACAGGAAGAGAGAGATCGAGAAAAAGGAAGAGACTGGCAGACGAGCAGAAAGACATTTTTGTGACTAGACAGGCGAGAGAGGGAGAGAGAGAGAGAAAATGGGAGGGAGGGGGAGAGGGAGAGAGGAAGGAAAGCATAGAAGTAGATGGAAAGATATAAACAAGAGAGAGAGAGAAAGAGAGAGAAGCAAGAGAGAGAAAGAGAGAGAGAGATGAGCTGGGAAAAAAAGCAGACAGACACACAAGCTGCGATGTTGTCAAAGAGACATGTACACAGATGAACAAGCTGACAAACAGGCTGACACTTACTTTTTAAAAATGACAAATAGACCACTTATTTCTGGTCCACTTTTTCTTACAAAGTGAATAAAAAACCTGTATCAATGTGAAAGAAACAGTGATAAAAATAGATCATGTAGGAAAATATAAATAAAACAACTCACCTTTTCTATAACTTTGTGCCTTTACTCTTGCAGGGAACTTCCTTACGTGCAGCTTGGGAATTTCACCAATTTTCCAGACAGCTAAAACAATAAAACAAATACATTCAAGACTGTGGACCAGGTGTGTTTTTGTCTTTTGTATAATGATGATAAAAAAGATGAATCATTTCTGAAGACAGTCGGTCATGTGACTAACAAGTCACATGATCATTTAGGCTCTTTTATGTTACAAGTCAGACTTGTTATGCTGCATAGGTAAAAGTTTAGTCTCTTCGGAAAACTATATACCTTTTTAAAAAATATTTAAATACAACATAAAACAAAACTGCAGCATACTAATAACATTCTCAAAACTTGTATTTGCTGAAATAATAAAAAGAACTGGAACAAAAAATATATGGCATCAGTCGTAAATAAAAGTCGTAAACCAAGCAGGATGCCATCTGAGTATATACAGCTATGCTCAGGTGGGCAACTGCTGAGGTGGTGATTGGATTTCCCATATTGAAAGTTATTTGTTGTCAGAAAAAAAGACTTGAAATTGCGATGCCAACAGAATGATTATAATATAAGGACTTCTCCTGACATTATTCATAAAGAGTCGAATTCATTCAACCAGCCAATGGGAATACATTCAAACTGATCATTTGTGCCCTTTCGCAGCTGCCTCAAGAAAACTATTTCTTTGATTTTCTTCTTTCCTCTGGATCTGAGCACTGTGATAAAAAAAATAGTTCTGATGTACAAACACAAGCTATCATCATAAAACTATTTTTAATTGGCACAATTTCTATTCAAGGTAATAACCTTCTCACACTACCATAAATGCTCTCTTCTGCCAATATCTCTCATTAAAAAACAATTTCACTGACACATTTTCTATTCTAGGCAACTGACATTCAATCACTCTGAGAACAGGCCAGCTGGTACAATATAATATGTCAGCTCCAGGGGGTCAGTTTTACAAAATAAAAAGGACATCAGTACTTATTAATTAAATTGGACTAAACGTGTAAGAGCAAAAATTTTAGTCTGTTTGAACAAAGATAGATCAGCATTATTATATGTCCATTGATAATATGAAACATAAAATAGGAAAAACGTATTAGAAAACTATAGGTGTCTTATTTTTAAATTAATGGAATTCTATGAATTTATCCTGAATTGTAGTAGACCAAAATTTTCAGCCATAAACTTAAAAAATAAACGACGACCTCCAAGGCATGTACCATTAAGGTACCCACTTAATTCTCCACCCCCCACCCCCCCCAGCTCCAGGGAGAATTGCTACAAAAGGACTAAACTTTAAGACCAAGCATTTTAGTCTGTTTTGAACAAATTAAGACAGATCAGCAATTATGAGTCCACTGATAATATGAAACATTATAAAATAGGTAGTTTTAGAAAAATTATAATAATAGTTATCTTATTTTGGCAATTATCCCCTAGCAGCTTCAGTAGGCATGCCAGACATTTAAGAAGCTTACAATGAATGCAATTTAGTAAGAATCCCCACAGACTAAGATCAATTCAGCTAATACAATGAGTTTATGGGAAGGCTCCCTAAAGTCTCAAATAATTAATGCCCGTCCTCAGTATGTTGGTGCCTGTATGCTGTAACATGATAAACACAGACAATAAAAATAGCAATGAAAAGTGACTATGCAATCCACTGGTGACTCATATAATATATATTAATTGAATTACAATTGTATACATTCACCACAATGACTATACAGTCTGACATATACTTCCATCTCTTCATATAACATTATACCACGATACCTGCCTGCATGGGTTGCAAATTTTGTGCATTAAATCTATGCTAACTCTCTACATTTTTGTTTTGTCATTTTCTTTTAATCTCAATTCAACAAATTGTTACAAAGGTTCATGATGATGTATTTCCTTCTTTTTTTAAGAAAATGACAAAGTAACTATAACAGAGATTTTGAGAAATACATGAACAGACCAGGCCAGCAGCTAACTCCATACATTTCACTGGTACACAAATTCTACATATTTAGTACAGAATACCATTGTTTCCTGCAGTTACAGTGTATATATTCTATGGTAAATAAGACACCATAAGACAATGGATCTACACATTTCTAAGTACCGTCACACTCATGGCAACTCTGTATGTAACGTATACTTATCAAGATGTCATCATCACCTGAATTCTAGTCTCCATTTCACTGATCTCCCCGTTACCTCCATGAGAAAAAGAACATCATAATATCACCATACAGGCGCTTCCCAGGTATAATACACGTACATCCCAGCTTCACCATGAAACAGCCATACTCGTATAGATTAGAATTGGCCAATACAGTCCAGAGGAAGGGCTTTTAATTAACAGCAGGATGTATGATTGCTACTTGGGAAATTGAATCAATTTTTCATGTGCTAATCAGTGGGAGGTCATTACAGGATTGTACTTATGCAGAAACCATGAAAAATGAATATCTACGGAGCCCTCCAAGAATGCAGATTCCGCCAAAGAAAAAATTGCAAAAAAAAAAATTCTTGATATAAAATATTACAATGCCTAGATTCAGTTGACAGCTGTCCATCTTGAAAATTTCATCAAGATTTTTGAAGGATTTTTCATTTCTTTTGACAAACAGAGGAAAAGGCACACAAACAATGAAAGCACATCGAGTTAGAAGTTAGAAGATCAAGGAAATACACTCTCTTATGTACGTCTCACAACAGAACATTACACCAATTAAAAATAATCCCTTGTCATGATTTTAAATTAATTTTTATATTAAATGACTGAGATTATGTATAATAATTCTTTTTATCTTTGATTTTCTGGACTTAGTCTTATAACCAGACACCGAAGATGGCAAATATTCAGTCACTACAAAAAAATTCATATGGTTCCATTTTCATGTATACAGGCAAAAAAAATTACAACAAAAATTTTAAGACCTATGACACTCAGTCTGAATCATAAAGACTAACCTTCCGGTCACCCATGGATGACCTTCCAGACTTACTGAGCAATGACATAACCGGAATGGAAGATTTGACAAAGCCAACTCATAACCATTGTCACTATATAGTATTGAATTATTATTCACAGTGGTGACTCACCTTCAGATCCTGATAGTGGGGGGGGGGGGGGGAATTAAAAGGATCTACTAGCAGATTCTGGATATTGAGAAGGATCAAAATAAAAGATAATTTTTGTCAGATGTCATTTTGCAGAAAATAAAATAAGTATACCATTCTTTGTGACTTGTTAAATATGTATCTTAAAACTTATGTGAATTTGGGTAATCAATAAATAGATTGGACAGTAATTATCTGGCTGAACTGATACAAATGTGAAAGTTCTGTTGATGAATATCTTTTCTTCTCCCTTTCAGACTCTGTAATCTTATTTATAATAAGTTTAACTGGAAGACATCTTCCGCACTGTCAGATATATCCAGACGCAGACAATTTATAGGCAATAATCCGATCCGGGCCACTTCCCATAAGATACATTATATCAAATTAGAAACATAACAGCACACATTCTGCCTAATGTGCCTATTGAATACAATACATTATGCAGAACATAAAAGTAACTTACAGGATTTTGTCTGGCAAAAATAAATAAATTAATAAATAAATAACTGACATAAAGAGGGTAGTTTAAGATTTGAGCCTTTAAGTGCCCTGAGAAGTGTATATATTAAAAATGTCTGTCCTCTGACTAAATGTCCCACAGTGATGTCAGAAAACCCTACCTTTGCAAAAATGACAGCTGTTTTTGTTATCCTTATTTCCTGTCAAAACTGGTACAAATTCATGATTTATATATGTCAACTCTACCTGAAAACCCTGCCTTTACAAAAATGACAGCTGAATTTGTTATCCTCAATTCCCTTCAAAACTGGTACAAATTCAAAACTTCTATGTCACAAACAATCAATTTCATTAACCAAGAGCAGCAGATACTTAAATAATGATATCTCACCTCGACTTCTTATTGTCACAATTAAGTCCTTAACCAAGAATGACACAAACAAATAATATCATCTTACTTCATAGAAATAGTATGAAGACATGCAGTCACGATTTGTAATTGCCACAATCGAGTCCTTAACCAAAAATGACACATACAAATAATAATATCTTACTTCAAAGAAATAGTATAAAGACAAGAAGACGTCAAAGGGGTATTGTGTCAAATAATAACTCACTCCTACACCAAGGAGACACACGCAGCCTAGAACTCCATTCTATCCACAGGAATGTCCATTATGACTTCATCATGACCAAATAAGACGGTTTAAGTGGGGAAGACAAAAAATGAAGCGCACGTCTCTCAGAGGCCACTCTGTCCTGAGGTCATGCTATAGGACACTTTTGATTTATTTGACCACGAGAGGGATGGACCCAAGTCTGAATAAAAATAACAGCTGGTATGGTAATCAATGATGAGACTTTTCTGACTTTTGTCGGAATTCCGTCTTTTTAAGGGTCATTTGGGTCATTCTTGTGAATCCTGTACCCTGGACCCTTGGCCAATTTTCCTCCTTTTTCAGTGAGGATTGGTCTCATCCCTGGGTAATGGTGCTCTCATTTCAACTGGGAAAGATTAACAATTCTTTAGGAACATAATTTTGCAAAAAAAATGTTGGTGCTATTCTGAGAGCTTTCAAAGAGAGACATGCAACTAGTGTTTCTTTTTCTTTCTTTTTCATGACATATTGAGAGATTTAAAAAATTGAAAGATGTGTTACTCAAAAAACAAAATGCCACCTTGTCATATTCAGAGACAATTAAAGTAAAAAAATTAGAGAGGGGTAAAAAATGAATCCCACTTGAACAGAGATATATACAAAAGAGGTGCTTGTGCAGAAATCTAAATTACGACAAATCACACTCTCAATGGACATTTAACCAAATACCTGGCAATCTGTGCTGGTTATGCTTGACCACATGAAAGAGAGTCAGACTGACCTGTGGATACACAGACTGACCACAACTAGCACTGAGTATCAAGTTACCACACCTGATGATGTGAGGCACGCAATATATATCACAGATATATGTAAAACTGAAATGGGACAGACTGG